ATATATATATATTTATTTATTTATTTCTGAAGAGATTTTTTACATGGAAAAATGCTTATGCAGGCGGCACCCCTGGCCAAACTGCAACAAAAAATAGCTGGGTGTTGTGGCAAGCACTTGTAGTCCCAGCTACTTGGAAGACTAAGGCAAGAGACTTGCCTAGGCTCAAGAGCTGGAGGTTCTGTGAGCAATGATATCACGGCACTCTACCAAGGGCGGCAAAGTAAGACTGTCCCTAAAAAATAAAATGAAATAAAAGCTTATACTGTAATATGAAGAAAGCAAATATAAAACTGATTAGATGGTGTGAGTTTACCAGTGTTAAAACACACATATTTGGGTGGCGCCTATGGCTCAAAGGAGTAGGGCGCCAGCCCCATATGCCAGAGGTGGTGGGTTCAAACCCAGCCCTGGCCAAAAACAAAACAAAAAAACACACACATTTAAGTAAAATTTAGTAGAAGAAAAGTCAGTAAAATGTTGACATTATCTATGTGTTATAGGATTTTTTCTTACAAAGGTAAGTTTTCTTCTTTATAGTTTCCTGTATTTCTACAGAAAAATGTTAATTTTTATTTGTTAGAAACAGTTGTGCTATGTTGCCCATGCTGAAGTACAGTGGTTATTCACAGGTGCTATTATAGCCCACTGGTATGGGCTATGTGCCTCAAACTCCTGGGCACAAGCAGTCTCCTTGCCTCACCTTCTGCACAGCTAAGGCTGCAGGATGCACCAGTCTGCCTGGCTGAAAATGTTAAATATTTTCTTCACATATCATTTTTATAGTCAGAGACACATAAACATTATTTAAAAAACAATTTTTTTTTTTTTCCCCGAGACAGGGTTCTACCCTATGCCCTGAGCAGAGTGCAATGGCATTATAGCTCACTGCAACCTCAGACTCAGGCTATGGGTATCCTGCTGCTTCAGCCTCCCAGGCTGCTGGGATTATAGGCACTTGCCACGGCGCCTGGCTGAGTTTTTCCATTTTTTTTTCATGAGTCGGGATCTCACTGTCGCTCAGACAAGCCATGAACTATTTTTTGAAAAATTTGTTCTAGGTCATTTGTATGCAGAAATCAGTAATTGAATGAAACTGGGGAGGAGTACCTTTAACTTTTGTTGTTGTTGTTGTTCTTGGCCTATTTTATTTACCTGGAAAGACAAGCACGTGCCAGTTTTCCCCCAAAGGTAAAAAAGAATCAGAATGCCTAATATGACCCGTTTGAACAAGAGCAAGACCCTGTCTCTATAAAAAATAGAAAAATTAGCTGAGCATGGTAGGGCGTGCCTGTAGTCCCAAGCTGCTCATAAGGCTGAAGCAGGAGAATAGTTGGAGCCCAGGCGTGAGTTTGAGATTGCAGAGAGCTATGATGCCTAAAAACATCTTTAGTGAACACCTGGAATCCTTGCACTCTGGGAGGTGGGTGGATTGCCTGAGCTAAGGATTTTGAGACCAGCCTGAGCAAGAACAAAACCCTGTCTCTAAAAAATAGCTGGTTGTTGTGGTGGGTGCCTGTGTTCCCAGCTATTTGAGAGGCTGAGGTAAGAGGATAGCTTGAGCCCAAGAATTTGAGGTTGCTGTGAGCTACCAGGGCATTCTACTGAGGGTAACAAAGTGAGACTCTCTTAAAAAAAAAAAAGTCTTTAGTGAAAGCTAAGTGACCTTATAACACAGAATTTACTATAATTAAAATAACCTGTAATTTTGACTGGGCATTATGGCTCATGTGTATAATCCTAGCACTCTGGGAGACCAAGGCAGGAAGGATCCCTTGAGCTCAAGAGTTCGAGATTAGCCTGAGCAAGAACAAGACCCCATCTCTACTAAAAATTGAAAAAATTAGCCATGTATCATGGCAGGTGTCTATAGTCCTAGCTACTCAGGAGGCTAAGGCAGGAGGAATGCTCGAAATCCAAGAGTTTGAGGCAACTGTGAGCTAGTGTAACGCCACAGCACTCTAGCCTTGGATAACAAAGTGAAACTTTGTCTAAAAACAAAACCCTGTGGTTTTGTTCATGGCCTATAATAACAATGTCTGGGGAATCCATTTATAAGTACATTTTTCCATAGGGGATTTAATATAATGAACTTTGGGCTGGACACGGTGGCTCATGCCTGTAATCCCAACGCTCTGGGAGGCTGAAGTGGGTGGATTATCTGAGTTCACGAGTTCGAGACCAGCTCTGAGCTAGAGTGAGACCCCATTTCTTTTTTTTTTTTTCCTGTAGAGACAGAGTCTTACCTTATCACCCTTGGTAGAGTGCCATGGTGTCACACAGCTCGCAGCAACCTCCAGCTCCTGGGCTTAGGCAATTCTCTGGCCTTAGCCTCCTGAGTAGCTGGGCCTACAGGTGCCCGCTATGATGCCTGGCTATTTTTTTATTGCCAGGGCCAGGTTTGAACCTGCCACCCTCAGTATATGGGGCTGGTGTCCTACCCACTGAGCCATAGGCACCACTTGAG